TATATATATATATATATATATATATATATATATATATATATATATATATACACACATTTATAATAGAAATATTCAAACATGATTATGAATCTTAAAAATCCAAATAGATGTCCAAAGTAATGTTACCATAACTATGAATAGTTATGTCCAGACCATGGCGAATATCAGCAACTTCACTGCTAAAGAAATTAGCAAATCTCTATATATAATATGTGTGTGCATGTGTGTGTGGCAGTATCTAATTTGGGTTCACAACTAATACGTAACCTACCTCTCTTTTACTAAAGCTTGCTAATACACACAATACAAGAAAGTATAATACATACACCAAGTATTGAAATACACGCCATCGTGTTGGGATTCAATATTTCGACATTAATTATGTCATCATCAGGAATGAAAAATTATCCATAATAGCAAGCTTATATGCACTAGTACCAAAAGTGTTTAGCCAATCAAAACATTACCTCTAGTAGGTGACATAGCAGTGATTTAAACAAAAGATCAAAGCATTCTTACTCTAATGATCAAAGATACCTACAAAAACAAAGAAAGCTCTTTTGAAGCTCTGAGCCCACTGTTAAGCAAAGGGTGTAGTCTACATTTCCTATAAAATCGTTTCTCTTGTCGTTTAGAACAGTCTACATTGCTCAACAAACTTATTTGATCTAATTAAAAAAATTGAACGACAGAATGACAAATTAAGAAAAGTTAGAAAAATAAGAACCATTCCCTCGTGTATTTGAAATTGAACGTCAGCAGTACTTTTAAATTTAGAAACTTTGAAAAACATTCTTTTCTAGGTCAAAGTGCTATTTTCAAGTTGAGCACCAACCGTGGTGCAGGACTGAGGTGGGCGTGGCCCTTCTGGCACTTGGTCCTCATAGCAATTTTTGTGCCCCCTCCTCCCGATCAACAAAGATGGGTCAGAGGTCAGTAAGGGAATTTCTCTTTATTTTGGACAAAATCAGATTAGGAGTGCAGGGCGCTTATTCATGCGATTACTGTATACAAAATTCTAAAGTTCAACACCAAAATCAACTCTATGACTCGCAGTTAAAAAGATCTTAAATATTTATTCTGAGCGGGCACCATTTTGTATTATGCAAATTAGGTGATTTTATGTAATCACCTGTGTCGTTGTCAGGCAGAAATCAAAATAGTATGGTATGTGCAACTTATGGACCAAATTTAGCGCCTACATCCAAATATTCTATTTTAGACATTATATTCGTTACCAATATGTTGATAATTGTGAAATACAGTAAAACATTCCTATATGGACCTTTATTGTGAAATATATTTTAAACGGTGTAAAACTGTTCGGCCTGAGAAGACCTTTCCAACGATAACTTTTTGATTTTTGTGTTTTGACCTTTGACCATCTGCAAATACAGTAGAACCCCTTTTTTGGGACACCCTTATTCAGAAGACACCCTATTTAAGGGGAAACTTTTCTGTGAAACGAGGGGAATATATATTATAACATATCTTTTCAACTTCAATTTTTTATGATAAAAATTGCAATAAAGTATCTCGTATTAACACTACAGTATGCTGGTGGAATGGCTGATATGGTGCTTTTTTAAACCCTTTTTTCAATATTGAAGTATATTACAACGTCAAGTTGAAACTAAGAGACATGGAATGTCATTTGTTCCTACAGCAATTAGATTTTATGATGTTTTAGTGAAATATATTTTTTTTTAACTTACAATTCTAAACCGTTTTTTAACTGAGGAATTCTGCATATTTATTTGTATAGTTTTGTTGTTTGCATGTTTTACTTTAGAGGCCAAAGGTTTCCCCATTGTGGGATAATAAAGTTTTAAAGTCTGTTTGGTTGATCCTTTTCAAAAAAACTATTTACAATTTTGCTTGAATTTTAGAGGTACTGTATTTTGCAATTTTTTGGAAGTATGATCTTTATTAACAAAATGACAATAACACAAATAATAATTAGCATAATATGAGAAGTATATAAAAGAGTAAATGCCAACCAAGGCAGTGTCGTAAAACACAGCCCAACATGATTTATCATCAGGTACAGTCTTTAGGTCGCCTTGAGAATATTAAACGTCGCAACTGTTTCTGACGCAGATCTATGGCTTCAGCATTTGACTCAGACCAAACGAGACAACATATAATGATAGTAACCGTAGAAGAACTATAAACAAGACACAAAATGCACTTTGTTGGTATTTTAAAAACTTTATTATTCTGGTACTAATTTTGAGAAGTTGCAAAAAACAAAGTGATATGAGGTGATGTTTATCTACTTGAGCATTATTTTTTGCTTCAAACATTTTCGATGGGAGGGGAGAGCGAGTTCTGTTATGGGGTGCACACCCCACTCCCTCCCCTTGATACGCCACTGTACAAATAGTATATGCATTAAACCTTTGTGAATCCCTGTGGATCCGCAAATGGAATTAAGAGCAGGTACAAAATGTTTCTGCTTCAAAAAGAATTTGAAATTATGCAACTGTACTACACCAATACAGAACATTTAAAAAATTAGAAATTCAAAGCCATGGGCAAGACTTCATCGGCATTGTCTTCAGGTTTCCTCTGTCTGTACTATAGGCATATTACTTATGCATCCCTGCACAATATTTACACAAGAAACATTGGATGATATACAAAGTATACAAAAAGCGCAAATAAATAAAAATGTATTTTAGATATATCAAGTCTGTTTTCTTGGAAGCATAAAATATTAAATATGAAATCTTGGAGTAAAGAAGTAAAAAAGTATGAGTTATCTAATTAAGAACAATTAAAACATAAAAAGGGTAAAAATCGAAACAATTTGTAAGAAAAAATATAATTTTTATCTTGATTTTCTACATATTTATGAACGCTATGTGTCGGCATACAAATTTATTATAAATATAATAAAATCCAATTATGAAACTGTTGATATAATAGCAATATAACAAATGATTTTAATTAATTATTTCATAAGATATGTATTTTATAAAGTTTATTAAGGTTTGATACAAATTTATATATTCAGAATAACCCTTATCGACCAAGGATACCTTACATCAGAGGTAGACAAGTTCAATTTGTTGCATTAAATGACATTTAAACATATTTAAATAATCATAATTGATAAAAAAAAAATATCCTGTACTATGAATACAGTATTGCTATAGATGAATTTGTAGTTACGTCATTGTGTCTAATGAAATTATGAGTAGAGACGAATTCTACAAACATACTTTTTATGTTGAAGATAAACAGGATAAAGAAACAAAAAAAATATCCTTTTAAAAGGTTCCCTGCTTCTTATACCTGAAATTTATAGCAAAGTCAAAACCTTTATACACATCAGAGCATAAATAATGTAAATTAGATACAAAATAACAATGCCAATACAGACTACAGTATTGACAATGAATTTCCTTTTAGGTTATATTTTGAAAATGGCTGAATGGAAAACGGAGGAATATTTACCCCTATCTAGACATCAATAAATTTCAATATACAAAAAGCTACAAAAAGCAAAAAATATTCATGCGAAAATAAAATCGTCTCATAGAACATTTAGATACATAAAAAGCAATTTGAAAAGGTGAGGCAGAATATAAATACAAGAAAATAAGTAAGAAGTTGAAACTATAATATACATTTTCTGATCACATGACATGCATGTTCATCCGACGTCACATATTACTTACAAAACTTCAGCTGGAACGGCGTCCGAAGTTCCACAACCACACTGGCCTAAAAATCCCCGCTTTAAATCACACTAATTCGTCAACAGTTGATAGCAATAAATACATTTATATTAAAAATATTGTAAACCCTATGCAAAAACCATTAAACATCGACACTTCATTTTCGAAAAAAATGGGCGAGAAAAACATTGCAAAGTATCCAAATTGCTATTGCTTTTTAACTTGATTGGTGTTGAATTTAACCTCATATTACAAACAATACTGTATTTATTGGCAGTACCACAAATATTAACTTTATTATTTATTACATCATGAACAGCATTAACAGTATCATGAATATTAATGATATAATATTGACATCATGAATATTAATGATAGTATTTTAAATATATAAAACAATATCATGAAAATGATTGCTAGTATCATGAATATAAAACAATTTTGAAAACTGTTTCCAAAGTTGCACATTTGCTTGAATATATTGCAAGATGGGGGTCAGATGTCACTTGGATTGCATAGAAGATAGAAAAAAAAATCTGCCAACACAAGCGGGTTCAAACATGTTGAATTTGGCATCATGCCAAACACAGATTATTTAGCCATTAGTTTTATAAAAAATGTTTAAGTAAAACTTATCTAAAAAAAAAATACAAAGGTACATTATTGTCGTAAAGCTGCACGGTAGTTATCAGTGTTGGTTGCATCTGTACTTGTTCGTGCATCCCCCCTATTCGAATGTGTCTCATGGTTACTTCCACGGTTGTGTTTTTTCTTGTTAAAATGAGGTGGTCCATCTGCAATAAAAAAAAAAATTACATAATATATTTCAAGAATATAAATGATTTAATATTATTATTTATTACTTTAATATTATAAATATTTTAATGGTTTCATTGCAATAAATCATAAATAAGTATCTTATAACATTCCAAGTTACCATATATATTGAATTAATATCCTGTCCTCAAATAACATGCTTATTTAAACTAAAAATCTTTAATTTCAAAACACATGCTTAATGATAGAAATAAAATCAAATTAAAAACAAAAAAAGTTTGTCATTTGTGTGGATTCATATTTTTATAATTATGATGGTGATGTGATTGTATAGGTGATGACACTGATGATAACGATGATGATAATGACAAGATGATGATGAATTTTATAACAATAGATATTCCATTCACATTTTCTATACAGATACTTGTTATGATCAAAATAATAATAAACTTAGTAGTTACAATATTAATGGTAATTTTTACAATAACAAAATTGAATGAAGTATCAAAATGCACATACAAACAGAAAAATAATAATACAACTTTAATGAAATCAAAGTACTGTAAATACAACAAAGTTAAAGAAAATTTTTTGTTTGTGTGAATTAAATCTAATAATGATGATGAGGATGTGATTGTATAGGTGATTATGACGATGATTATGATGATAATGAATAATACAGATTCACTTTTACATTTTTTTTTATACTGATAGTTTTTTCTAATGATCAAAATAATAATATTAATAATAACTAATAATAATTATTAATGATAATATTTTTTACAATATAAGTATCAAAATGCACATAGAAAGAGAGGACACAACAGAATAAATTACATTAATCAAAATAATAGTTTCAATGATTTTTATAAAATAAAAATAAATAAGTATAAACTCAAAAGAACAAAATACCTATTCATAGGTTTATTGTAAGTAATAATATGTTAAAATATTCAAATATATTTATATTTAAAGTTCAAGGTTCATTCTCTGTGTGCATCCATGCATGTGATTTCTACCTGCTACATGTTTGATTGCCAACTTTTCTTTCGTTCGAACAATTTGAATGAATGTTGTAAACAACGCTGTGTGCAAAGATAGACAGTTCAATTATTATTTTGAAGAATAAAATCTGAAGGTAAGATCATAAATATGACCTTTTTGAAGACATATTCACTAATAAACTTGATTTGAACTCGTCACTAAGGACGAGTTAGGTGATCCACCTGTCCGGCAAAAGAAAGCAAAACAGAAAAAAAAAATGTAGCCCACCCAGTTTCGAACTTCATGGTCACCACAGGCATGTTAGACAAATATTTTACCACTAGACTAAAGGGTCATTCCATGCCAACTCAACAAATGGGATGGCTGGGTACTGTCTCAGATTTTCTCGAAACTCGGATATAATGTGCACCAACATGTCTGATGAACAAACCCAAAATTTGACTTGCCAATTCCAAGTCGTTTAGAAGTTACAGCCATTTGAAATTTTAGGGTCATGCCCCTTTCTAGCTCTCAATTATGACATTTTTGTAAAGTTGCATTTTAAATTAGCCATATCTTAGTATATTTGATTTAATATCCAGAATAGATTACTGAACTTACAATGTATGTTTTTTTCTGGGGGGTTTGGGGGTCATTGGGAACTTAGTGGAGTAATGTCCCTACCCCAGGATGCATAGTTCGTTTATGGTTGAGGTAGGTGGGTCATTAGGACCTTAGTTAAGTAACGCCCCTTACCCCACAATGTATAGCTCGTTTAGGGTAAGTTATGCGGTTCATTGAACATTTGTGGAGTGATATCCCTACCCAATGATGCACAGGTACCATTGGGTAGTATTTTCGGTGTTTTGTTTTTGTGTGGATATTGGCCCAAGATAGCATATGCAGCAACAAAAAAATGAATTTAATTTTATATACAGTACGTACCTTTTTCACAGGTTGGTCCAATCCATTGATTGACACATGTACAAGACCCGTTGACTGGGTTACAAACAGACGAGTGCGCACAGTCGCAACTAAACCCACAATTTGGCCCATAACGTCCTTGAGGGCATTCTAAAAAAATTATTAAGTTCAAATAACATTATAATTTTTATGGTATATTCTATAAATAAATGGAAAATAAATAAATTTTTCTGCCATATTGAGACCACTTTGAGACCTCAAAATTTAGGGTGGTCTTGGCGCTGGGTTTCCACTTCAAGGAATTAATTGCATTAAAAGATTGACCATAGTTATTTGGTGCTTTGAGGAGGGGTCTCAGCATTACATAGGTCTTGAATTGGAGGGTGCACAGTGACATCAACAGAACCAACAACAGCAATAACAATAATAATTCAATTACTAACAATGCCATTCCAAAAATACTTGCAACTAACAATTTTAGAAAAGGACAAATATATTTAGAATTTTAAAACTAAAAGCTTGCAGTCTTAATTCTTTGAACAGGCCTATCAACTATTTCTTTTACCTGTTAGGCAGCCTTGGCCAGTTCGTCCTGATGCACAATCACATAGACCAGTCTCTGGATGACACTGTGTCCCATTGCCACAATCACAGAAGAACTCACAATGGGGTCCATAGAAGTTAGGTGTACAAGCTGTAAGCAGAAAAAAACATCAACCTTAAACAGTGTTCACTTAGGTGGGTGAAAATATACAAAAATGTTGTTATTTTAATTGGATTTACCAAGGAACAATAACAAGATTTGATTTGATATACGACATAACACATTCACATAGAATCATCTGCGCATTTGAACATTTTCTTCTCATCTTACAAACTAGGATTTGTTTTTGGTTGAATCTAAGTTTTACAGAAAAAGCAGGCCAGTCAGAAATAAATGCACCTGTCCTAGTGTCACCATGTCACACAACCGAAAGCTGCCTATTATCTTATGTCTCATCTCATAATATAATATATTCAACAATACAGTTTTTTTGTATCAAACATGCAGTTTACAATTTTTTACCTTTGTTTCAAAAATAGAAATAATTTGTACTGTCTACATTTGTTGATAAAATTCTACATTAATATTACTCCAAGATTTAGTTATAAATATTTAGTACAATAAAACTGTCTTCACTAGAATCATAGAACCTGTCCAGACTGTCAAATTTTATATGACAAAATCATGCCTAACTATGGCCATGATGTCACCACATCATGACCATATATAGGCATGGCATGACTTTCTAGATATGGACGTAAACAGTTTTTTATCTCAAAGAAAATTTGATAGCTGTGTAAACAGAGCTTAAATATATTTCTTCCCATAATTTTAACTTTTAATTTTAATTTTTTTAAATTGTTTTCTTTTTTATTCTTGTTTATTTTATTTCATTTTATTTTATTTCATTTTTACATTTGAACATAATTCTAATGGAATTTGCACAATATAAATGAATAATTTATTAGTATTATTATTATTTAAAAAATTAATATACTGACTTTGTTCACAGTTTGGTCCTTGACGTCCGGGTGGGCATCGGCATTGGCCAGTAACAGGATCACAAGCAGCGCCATCATAACATTCACATTGCTTGCTACAATAGAAACCATAGAAACCCTCAGGGCATTCTACATTATAGGAAAAAAATATAAATTAATATATAATTTAGCTTTCAAAGACATATTTTCTAAACATTACCTTTTCAATTGATGTTCTTGCATCAAACAAATACAGTATTACTTTATTTGTTGTATTAATATCATTAAGTATTTTTTAAAAATACAGTAGAACCCAAGGGGACACCTTTGCGACCAAAAAGTGTACCCTAATAGGGATTTATCCTTAATTGGGGTGTCCAGGGTTTAGCCGTAGTGTTAAGATATACTTTCCCTTATTTTGTGGCCGAAAAAGTGCCCCCTATAGGGGTGTCCCAAAGGAGGGGTAGTACTGTATACAATAGTAATTTTGTATAAATTCTGTCGTTGCTTACCATATTGACATAAGTTACCATAGTAACCATCAGCACACATGCAACAACCTGTCATTCGGTCACATGATGCACTGTTTTGGCAAGGGCACTCCAGTTCACAGTTGAAGCCGTAAGTACCAGGTTGGCATTCTGTATATCAATCAACATTTAGTACATCAATTTATCTCAAATTCTTATTTTTAAAACAAAAAACAGTAAATAAAAAAAATATATAATTTGTTTTAAACAATATATTTATGATGGGTGACACTTCCAGCTTAACTGATATGCAGGGGCTCTTTTAAAATAAACAAAATCGAAATAACAATAAGATGCTTCAGGAGTCTCGTTATATGAGGCTTCAGTAGGGTTTAATTTTACATAATCAATTTTGCTGATTCATGTTCTTTTTTAAAATGTGATCACCGGCCATTCAGTTATTGTGTATTCATTAGGGAGGTTTCGCACGCGAACGCGTACGGTTAGTGTGACAGATATGTCATCATTTCGACGCCATGCGCCGGCTGCTATTCACTAAACTAGTGGACGACACGCATATCTTGCTCACTACACGTAGCTAAACGTATGCTTACACATATTTGTTCGCGTGCGAAACCTCTCGTATTATATGAATTATCTTTATTGATTTCCACAATTTCCTCAAAAGAGTCAGGGCACATAGAACACGCTTTCAATAGGGCAGTTGATTATTTTAAATCTTGACTTTGCTCTCTCATATTCTATACTGTTTAGCACGGGAGAGAAGCGTAAAGCGCCAGAACTTAATAGATAATTTTTTGTAATTCAATTAGATGTCTAATAACCAATAATACCACTAACTTTTATTGACATCATCATAACAATCATACAGTCAAACACAAAAAAATAAAAATGTGTGATATAGGTTATTCATATATGTAATATAAAAAATACAAGCAAATAATTTGAAAAAGACAGGTCTAATAATATATTACCTTGCTCACAAGTAACGCCAGTGAATCCCAAACCACAAGAACAGACGCCAGTCAAAGGATCCAGACGCCCTCCGTTGTTACATTCTCTAGACATCTCACAATTCATACCAAAATATCCTGGAGGACACTCTAATTATTTAAATAAAATTCAGAAATGTTTATTCAACCATTGACTTAATTGGATAAAAAAGAAAAAATTCCATATAAAGCAAGTAAAATGATCTACGAACCTGTTTGGCAAAATTCTCCAAAGAAACCGCTCTTGCAGGAACAGTGTCCAGTCATTGGGTCACAAGTTCCATCATTCTGGCAGAAGCATTTCTCAAGACAATCGATCCCAAAGGAACCCGCGGGACAGACTAGAATTAAAATAGCAATTGGACTAATTATTAAATACTGTAACAGTGTTTTTGCATGTTAAATATTGTGTCTATTTGGCAAATTAATTTCATGGAAATTTGCTACTGAAATCTGAAAAAATAAGCTTCTTTATGATTACTTACGTTTGCTACACTTTGCTCCAATGTATCCGGCTGGACAGTCACAAGATCCGTCATTAGGGTTACACTGTCCATTGTTTTGACACTCACACCTCTGGTGACAGTTTGGTCCGTAGCGTCCTGGTGAGCAGACTGTTGACAATAAAATGGGATAATTATGCAAATTAAGGTGTTTATATGAACTGTATGTAACAAACTCTCACTATAGAGTGCGGCATTAACTGAAAATAATGTTTAGTGAATTTTCAGCACTCTCAAATAGGAGCTGGGTTCTGCAAAGATGAGCAATCAACATCAAATAATGTAATTGATTGACTAGTTATTTCCACTACAAGTGTCAATAATTCATGGTGGCAATTTCTGTCAGTAGAACCTCTATATGGTGAGACATCTAATGGATGTCACTATTTACATTTTATGTTTAATTACTGCAATTTCATATCAAAAATAATAATAGGACCTTTCCTTTGGGTCACTTATATGAAGGGGACACCCTTCTTCAGGAGACATAGTTTTGGTCATGAATTGAGGAGAAAACATGTCATTTAATACTATGTCCAACACTTTTTTGGTCCTGAAGGCATCTTACATTTTTCACATTTCTTTCCTCGATAACCTGGTTTACATTTGCACTCTCCATCCACTGGATCACAGTTTGTGTTAGCTCCACAAAGGCACAACTCTTCGCAGTCTTGTCCAAATCGTCCAGCTGGGCAAGCTGAAAGAAGAATTAATAATAATACTCTTTAAAATATAATTATAGATGTAATCAAATTATATATTAAAACAATATCTAATTAATGAATGTAATACAATGCTGTTAAATAAAATATGGTAAATGCAAACAAAATTTTAATGTAAAATATATAATCAGTTTGTGATTTTTTAATATTAAAACAAACATTTTAAGAATTATAATTGGCATATACCACATTAAATGACAGTTATTACCAAATATTGCACCTTCAACATTATTCTATTTTCTTTACGAAAAAAAATGAGGCTTGCCATTCTAAAACTGGTGTACTGTCGCTGATGGTTAAACTGAGTAATTATCATATAAATGTGGCAGAATTGTATCCTTGTACAGACAAGCCATAATACTTCTACTCATAACTTTGGTAATAGGAAGGCGATTACAGTAAATGACTTATCATTTTAAAGGTTATAGAGCTTTGCATGACACGCCCCATTTGGTCAATAATCACTCAAATTTCCGTCCTTGAAAGAGGTGAATTAATATTCAATTTAACAATTTAATGAATAACAAATTGTAATATATCTTTTACCGTCGCTACACTGGGGTCCTGTAAATCCCGGGGGACAGATACACTCGCCGGTCACATGGTTGCACGGGGTATTTAGACCACATCCACAATAATTCTCACATGATTCACCGTAATAACCTTCTACACAAGCTATAGCAGGAAAAAAATATTATAAATTATTAATTCCTTGATATAATCATATATGCAGTTATGCATAATCTTTTTCACTTATATATTATTCATTCAGTTATATATTCATACATTAATTAAGCAAGTTATTTATTTATATACTTATTCATTAATTCAACCAAGTATGTATTAATCCATTTACTAATAAATTTTAATCAAATATATTTAATAAAATATTCATCGATTCATATTTTTATTAATTTAATTTTGTATAATAAATAAACGGGATTTTCAGGGACATGTTGATTAACATGAGTTATATTTTTAAAAAATCATATACCTCTTCAGTGTCATATAACTCAGTTTATATAAAAGATATAAGGAATTTTCAGGGACATGTTGCTAATAACATGAGTTATATTTTAAAAAAAATTATATACCTCTTCAGTGTCATATAACTCAGTTTATATAAAAGATATAAGGACTTGTCATTTAGCTCAATTTATTTATAAGAAATAAAGACTTGTTTTACTTTAAAAGACATGTATACATAAGAACGCAAGTTATAAATTAAAAAAAAATTGGGTTAATTGAAGAGATAGATAGATAAACGGTTTATACAATAAATTTACATAAAAAATACATCATTGCAGCAGAGCTAGATTGCAATGTTATTTACAAAAATATGTATATAAAAAGAACTAAAATAAGCAAGCAGAATATCACAATAAAAGACAAAATATCTAAATTACATTATACATTCAATTAAAAAAATATCAATATATAATTACATTAAAATGATTTCATCAATATTATTTACAGAATATCAAAATTACATTAAACATTCAATAAAAAAACATCAAATTATTATAATTATAAAATAATTTCATTATTATTATTAACACGGGATAAATTTAGATTAAGAAAATTCATTATTTACTTCAAAAAAAAAATTCCAATTCACAAAAATTCCTATTCATAAAGATCAATAATCATAAGTGATGTATCTAGCAGGGTACAAGGGGACAGCGGAGGGGGTGGGGAGAGATGGGGTAAAAGTGCCTATGTACCTTTGTCACAGGTGAAACCTCTCCAGCCAGGAGCACAATCACACGCCCCAGTTTGGTGGTCACACGTTGCTCCATTCTGACAGAGACATTTCTGTTCACAATTCTCTCCAAAGTAACCCTTCTGACAGGCTAAAATATTCATAAAATTAATATTATTATCAATAACATATGTAAATTAGAGAAAATAATACATGTACAGCAATCTGCAACAGACAAAAAACAATTAATGTGAGTTATCTGATTTAGAGGACAGAATAAGAACAATAATTCCGAATTAGTGAACTTTGGGTGGGCTTCTTATGGAGATGGGCTTTTTTTCAAGGCTACTTTTGCAAAGTTAAGAGGGGGGGGGGCTTCATTTCAAAATAAATTTTGGGAATTTGTACTATGAAACACAGTAACATCAATCTGTATCATGGAATGTATTAACTGGCATTAAATCACCTAACCTACTCTGTATTAACCAAGCTTGTTTTTAATTTATTTAGTTTTTTGAAATTCATGTACAGTGTATGTACTGTATTATTTCGACTCCAGAAGCCTATGCTATTTTGAAAAGGAGCCCATGGGATTTCTTTTCAAGACAGGCTTCTTTTCTAGGCTAATTTTGCACACTAAAGTGGGGGCTTCAATTCGAGATGGGCTTCTTCTCGAGATTAAGCCCATTGGGCTTCAATTCAAGGTTTTACGATATTATAGGAGTGATGTTTTAGGAATCTTGGTGCTCTAGTTGTTAAGACACCAGGCTAGCTGGAGGTCATAAGTTTGATTCTTACTAGAATCACTTACAATTATTTTTTTTGCAAGTTTTTGAGAAATTACAGAGTATTTAGTACGATAAACGTCAGGCAAAAATTACCGCAATGCTATATTCCTAATGCAAACACATCAAAATAGAATAATATTACAACAATATAACATGTGGGTGTATTAAACTCAGCTTTGAATCAATGGCAGATATGAATATAACATCTTGTACCTATATTCAATATAATATTTACTTCTGTTATTTTTTCAATGTACAATTAAAATGTCATAAAACTAAATTAATAAGAATAAACAAAATCCTGAAAAAGTCATTCTAGTGTTGAGCACCTCAGAAAAAAAGCATGATACAACAAGACAGAAAAATATAGGACAAAGGCGAAAAAAACAAAGAAAAACAAAGAAATAAATACAAATTGAATGCACAAAAAATATTGAAGTGAATTATTATGTATTTATTTACCTTCTTCACATTCTATTCCAACCCATCCAGGGGCACACTGGCATGTTCCATTAAATCGATCACATGACCCTCCATTAAGACACTGACACGGTAGCTGACAGCTTGGTCCGAAGTAACCAGACTCGCATTCTAAAATTACAAGCAAGAGACACTTGTTAAGTCAGGGTTAAGCAGTGGTTCTGTGTGCAATTATTGCCTATATGAACATTCAAGAAAACAACAATATTATTTGAAAGACAAGGGACCGTATTAGTACCGTAAATGTTTGAATAAGCGGCGGACCAAACCTGATTATTTTCGCAAAGCGGCGCTCTGGAATAAGCGCCGCGGCTCTTGATCAAGGGTATATATAACCCTGTGTGTAATGAAACACTTTGAGAAAGTGTTTTAAATACAATGTATACAGTATGTTAAAATGAATAAATAACATAATGAAGATACAAGCATTTCTTTATAATAAACGTTTATTTACGATGACTAGGACCTATGATAGGTCTAACGATATGGGAAGAATATGTGAGATAGATAACATGGGAAAAGACATGGAAGGCACCACGCAAATACCTTTTTATAACCGAATAAGCACCGCACTGAAGCCTCCAAAAATTTGAGCATTTACGATAAACAAGAAATGTTTGAAAGGCAATTTTGAAAATTTCCAATTCTCCAGAGAATTTTTTTCTTTGTACAAGCTTTTATAGAACAATATTGGAAATGAAATTGATTAACAAATACAATGCCTCTGCCGTTATGATATATGTATAATATATATAATAATGTTCATAAATTGGAAACATGATAAAAAATATTAGTTTACAATACATATTCTATTTAGTGATTTGAAAAAATGGCACTTGCACAAACTTTTATTTTTTTCCTCTTTTCTTTATTTATCATCAATACTATTCTGTCCCTTTTTTGAATGATAAAATGAATAAAAAAAGTATAAGTAAAAAAAAAAAACTATTTGAGAGGTAATTGTTTCCCAGTAACTGGCCAATTCACCCCAAGAATAACCCACTGAAAGCAATCAATTAAGCTTGGTGACCCTACATTGGCTTACAGTAACTTTGGGGGCTGAATAATATATAAAAACAATAAAAACATGACCATCATACCACGTTCACAAGCACGACCAGTCCAGCCACCAGTACACTCACAGGCACCAGTGCTTGGGATACATTTGGAACCGTGCTGGCAGATACAACGCTGGGCACAACCAATACCAAAGTAGCCCTTCAAACAAGCTGTTAAGGAAAGCAAGATTATAGAGTGTTAAACTAATAATGCAGATTCATTCAGATGTGATCTGGTTTGGGATGCTTCTTTTTTTGTCCTCATATCCACACCCTACTCTGGATTGTCACCAAAATTGTATTTATTTCTTTCTTGGGACCATGACAAACAATTCTGGAAAGTTTCACTCACACCCTTCAAGCAAGCTGTTTGTGAAAGCAATATTCTATCTATATCTATATATATATATATATATATATATATATATATATATACACACACATAAGAAGGGACCGTATTAGTACCGTAAATGTTTGAATATGTATAGCGGACAAGTTACTTGGAAGTTCCTAGTGAAAGGTTTTTTCCTACATATTTAAAATTACCATATTATAATTATCGGTGTTATAATTACATATCTACAACAACAACAACCCATTAAAAATAAAGGACTGTTAAAATCAGTTGAGTATTCAAAATACAAAACTAAGTTGAACAACAAAATACGGTGAAGGGTGCACACACTGTATTTTAAAATTTGATACCCGCTATAATTCGAGACCATTTTTTTTCAAAGAACCAAATGTCTTAAAAATTTTAACACAAATCTAACTCTCTAGTTTGAGACCAAACCCGGAGACCACCCGAAATTTTCAGGTCCTCAAATGTGGTGTGGAACTGGAGGATGAACTGTACACTAATACAATAATTAGCCAAAAATGGTAGGTCTAATATTAAGGTTTAAGTTCTACTTGAAGATGATCTAGTTGTAGTTGTGATGGTAGTTAAAGTCGAATTACTGTGCTACTTACGTTTGGTACATGAATGGCCCATCCATCCAGCCGCGCAAACACACAAGCCAGTCACATGATCGCAGTCAGCGCCATTGTTACAATCGCATACACCGCGGCAGTCCTGTCCAAACCTATCTTCACTGCACTCTGCGTGAAAGTAAAAAAAACCCTACATATTGAAATTTCCTTTGATGACAAGCTGTGGAGCTTCACTATGACCACACACATCTCCCATGGACAACATAACACGAAAAGGCATGCGTATAGATTGTTTTTAATGATAATCCGACAATCAATCAGCAGGCCTCATGTTGTCAAGTGTTTACAGATGATCGAGGTGGTTTCATCAGCGAATGGCTGTATGAATGTCATAACATGCAGATGCAGTATGTTTCTGTCACTCACAGCTAATATTAAAGTCTTATACACAAAGGGACACGGCAAAAGGAAAGAAATAGAACCAATGCACTCTTTACGATATTCCACGCTGACAAAGACTACTCAACTAAGCAACTACATGTGGCTCATCAGCATGGAATCATTAAATATTTTAAAGAACTCTTGCATAAGTAATATTCTGGCCAAATACTAACTCCGGCCATCCTTTACTGAGCATAAAGAGTGTAGAACAAGCCGCGAACAATGCATGTGTCTTCCGTGCACTGTGTAAATAGATTGCACTGTGCGACAGGTTATGTGACCATCACTGCTGCTGTCCCGCACTACATAAATGCGCCTTTAGGGTGAAGCCACTCTATTACATGCCTAGCATATCACCCTGAATGTTGTAGTCATTGTCATTATAATTGTTATTTGAAAATAAAATAACAAGAAATTAAATAAAAAAATTTTGTTCACATACCTTGCAAACATAAGTCTCCTGTGAAACCTGGAGCGCAGAGGCATTCTCCGTTGACAGGGTCGCACCGAGCACTGTTTGCGCAACGACACCTCTTCTGACATTCATGTCCGTAGAAACCATCTGGACAGGCTGGATAGCACAAATCCAAAAAAAATGTGTTTAAAGAAACAGAGTAATATAGGGATTTACACCATGCCTTTTGCCAAGTTGATACAAGGTAATGATATTATTAGTAATATTACCCCCTGGTCGATGGATCCATAATTAGCAACCACCCCAAGATGTAACCTCCTTCACTCCCTGGGGGAACATTAAACTTATGAGAATTGTTTGGATTAATTTTAGTAACTTATTTATGCTTTCATCATCAAGGTATTTTCAATAAAAAGAACTTGTGTCTTGTTTTTCTGCTGAATCTGGTGGTAGCCCCTGTGTGTGCGCTGAACATTGGCAAGCTCTAGGTCCCCGGTTCAATTCCCATCGCTGCCTATCCTTGTTTTTTTATAGCTGGAGAGCTGAAGTGCAAGTTACGATAGCGCACCATATTTCAGATGAGACCTATAAGCTGTTGGTCCCGTGTGCATTATGACCCATGTGCATGTTAAAGAACGCAGTACACTTTTCGGAAAAGAGTAGGGGATTGTCTCCCAGTGTTCTGCCCCATCACCACCAGAAGGACCCCACTGGAAATAATTCTAGACCTTTGTGGGTTATCCTTGGTGTTTACACCTAATAAATCCATCCACTCAAAGTTAAAGATGATGATTGAATTGTAAGGCTTACGCTTGTCGCAGATTTCTCCTCTCCAACCAGCAGAGCAGGTGCATCCGCCTCCTACATGATCACACATGGCACCATTTAAGCATGAACACTTGTTCTCACAGAACCGTCCATAAAAACCATTATCACAGACTAATGAAGAATGAAAGAAAATATATGTATTATTTAATTGTAGTCCTGTTTTATTAAGAAATATACTGTGAATTTAACAGCACTGTATGCCTAATTCAAGCCAATATTTGATATTTTTTCTGAGTCATACCCTGTACTGTAGAGGAATACAATAAACATAAAAGTTCATACTATGAATCTAAATACTACAAATATATATTTTTTTGTACATTAGGTAAGATTATATTTTACGTACTGTTATATCATACAATATTTTGTTTTATATAAATTATTTCAATATTATTCTTTCCAAATAAATTTCTGTTTTGTGCTGACGACAATTTTATCTTTTATCTTGTGTTCCAATCAAATTGGAGAAACATGTTGTAGCGCCCTCACCTTGCTGACACTGAGATCCCTGCCATCCAGGTTCACAGATGCATTCACCAGTCACTGGATCACACTCCGCACTGTTGTGACATGTGCACTTGGCCTCGCAGTTGAAACCAAAATAACCCCCAGGACATGCTGCAAGCAAAATATTTAAACATTTTTTTTCATAAAATTTCAAATACAGTTGATCCACTATTAAGGGGACACCTTTGGGACTGACACAAGTGTCCCATTTATAGGGGTGTCCCCTGAATAGAGATTGGCCGTAGTGTTAAAAGATACATTTCTCTCACTTCATGGCCACAAAAAGTGTCCCTTAATAAGGTTGTCTCAAAGGGGGAATCTACTGTATTAATTATAGATGTAGATTAGATGTTTTATAAACTAATGGTTCTATCCACCAGGATCCACATGTACCATTAATGTAAATTTGACAATATTTAAAGAATGCAGTATGTCTTTGCAAAAGAGTAGAGAATTGCCTCCTAGTTTACTACCCAATGCATCACCAGGGCTGAAAGAAAACAAGTATTCAGACCTCAGTGGGCGTTTTCCTTGTTGCAACGAAGAAGTCGAAATAAATAAAAAACAAACAAATAATAAATACAAACAACACAATCATATACATACAAAATCTTTAAAAAATTAGTTTTTCTCCTAAATAAAGAAAATAAAGAGTAGTTGCTTACATTCACCGCATGTTGGACCCTGCCATCCAGCTTGGCAGCGGCACTTCCCTGTCTGCTTATCGCAGTCTGCATCATTCTTACACCTACATCGATGACGGCACATTGAACCGTACCACCCCTGTATACACTCTGAAAATAATTCATAGTAAAAGGTTTAATTTGCCTGGAGATGTGATCCACATCTGATGTGGAAACCACAGTATATATGAGTAGTAATTATTTTGACAACGGTCAGATATTGACAGTGTTTTTCCATAGTTCCTTGTTTTAATAGGTGGCAGATGGCATCTTGAGATGCAGATGACATCTTAAGGTCTTTGGTGTCACTTTCCGAAGAATTTATGGTTAAAGACTGGTTTCCATAAAATTGCTACAGGTTACAGCAGGCAGATGTCGGTGATGCTAATTGCATGGTTGAACAAGGCAGCCTTGCTGATTGCAACGGAGACAGCAACATGTGTAGCCATTGCAGTAAAAAAAAAGCCATGTACATCAGCGAATTTAGGGAGTGGAATGGGGTAAGGTAACCCCTTGTTTCCCTGGTGTCGGGACAGTGTAGCATTTTTATGGAAACATAACTGAAGTCATACTATTTCAATGATAGCTAATGCTATTAGCACCACTATACACCTGACCTCCTGTGCATTACCTTCTACGCAAGCATCTCCTTGAAATCCGAGCGGACACTGACACTCTCCTGTGGCCTTCTCACAAATTCGGTCGTTTGAGCATGTGCAGTTATTACGGCAACCAACTCCCCACAATCCATCTTGGCATTCTATTTCAAATAAATTATATAACTAATTAACACAGGTCAGATGAAAATATATTGTTTATGGTGAAACCAAACCAATCTTTATTTTTAACTATTAATCTTGTGGTTCCCAACCTATGGGGTCCGTAAAAAATAATTGGGTGTCCACCAAGTCTATATACGCAGATGGAAAAAAAGGGTTTCCTAGACTTATATCACTTTTTTATGATTCTATTATTTTCTCGTATTACAACAGTAAGAAACATCTTAATGCCTTCCATAATGAAAGAGCTTCGGTGTTACTTTTGTCTCAAATTATCTGTATTATTGGCAGAATATCGACAATGGGAAACTTACCTTCCATGCAATCAGGTCCAGTCTTTCCAGCTTCACAGGAACATTCACCGTTTATTGAGTTACACTCGCGCTCTCCGCAACGACAAATTCCCTCACAGTTCTCCCCATAACGCCCCTCAGGACATACTAAAAGACATCAGTATATTGTATTGTTGAATAGGAAATGAAGTAACTTGGCCTATAGTTGCACATTTACACAAGATGAATGCTTGTTGAAGCTTGAATCCTCGCGGAGGCGGTGTTTTTTTTTTTTTATAGATATGATGACTGAAATTAGATTTGTTTTTGTGCTTCGGAACAATGTGATAACTAGCATGATGATAATGAATTGATGATGTTAAAGATGACATTGACCATCATCAAAATTATTGTCACGGTGGTGACGATGATAGTCATGATAATGACGACGACAAAACAGGTGGAGGTGACAAATTATTACAATATAATTCAAATTCAAATTTTTGTAAATAATAAAATAAAAACCGTTGATATAATAAATTTTTCTGTAATGTTTCTTTATGGTTTTGGTGTTTTTTCTTGTTTATTAATTATTTGACGTCTTTTGAATGAGTATTAATCATATTTCAGTATTGCTAACTTGTTTGATTGAATCGTTGATGCTATGTTTTAATTCAACATAATAAAGACGAATTTCAAAAATTTGAATTTGAGGACATTGAGAACATAATGATGATTATTATGATAGACATGATGAAGATGGTTGTAGTAATTACCATGTCATTGAGGATGGGGTTTATGAAATTAAATAAAAATGAAAACGAAAATGCCGGTAACAATGACGAGGCCAAAAAAAAATTTTTTGTTTGCCCTCCTACACCCGCTCCAAACTCACTGAAAAAAATAGGGGCGGAAAAACAAAAAACGTTTTCCACTCGCCCCTTTTATCATTTTAAAAAAAGGGCAAACAATTTATTTTTTTAGGCCTGATGTTACATTATGAAAACATTTAACTTCATACCAAATACTCTCCACTCACCTGCCTGTTAAACTCTTACAAAATATTAATATCCAACAAAACACTAACAGCAGGTGGAAACTGAGACCATAATAAATCTTTTTCAAAATACATCGTTGGGAATACATAAAACATATAGAATATTTACAAGCTTCTATAATCAGAGTTTTAGTATGAAATAAATAATTCCAATTAGCCATTAATATTCTATTTATTATTAACGGAGCTGTTCTGCTAGTTGGCGATAATGCAGAACGATGTTAGAAATAATTATAATCTACTGTACCTGGGGGCCAAACGTAAGTGATATATCAATTTTTCATATGATATTCAAAATGAAAAGTAGGCCCGATAATCTTATTCATAGCAGAATATCTAGTAAAAACTCGAGAGGATAGTTCTCATTATCATCTTAATTCAATTTGAATTTAATTTAATCACAAAATATTTAAATTAATAATAATCATATCATCACATTGTACCGTTATCACTTTCGTATGTATTTTCTTTTTATTTAGTTACAAAAAAGTATTTTCATATTAAAAATAACTGATTATTTTCCATTTTAAGGATTGGCTGAAAGGGTTGTTTACTAAACACAAAAAATTTAATAAGCGTCATTCCTGAACAGATAACAGAGAAAATTAAAAGACGGAACAATATAAAATAAATAAAAACTAATAAAATCCGCACGTTCGTATTCTGTATTGCAAAATTATAAAATTAGTAAAAAATAGGTTTGCTCCCATAACCTGTCTCTTATACACATCTAGATGTGTGGCGAAATTTGGGCCGATCGAGACAACAATGTCCTAGGGGGTCCGGGGCATGCCCCCACGAAATTTTTGTGTTGCAGATGCCCGAAAATAACATTTGAGGCATTGTGGGCTATCATTTTTTTCTTTTTCTTTCTTTTTTCCCCCTATTTTTTACCTCCCAAAAGGGGGGGCCGGGGCCGGGCCGGCACCCCCTCCAAATCCGCATAAAATCTGCATAAAAAAAAGGTTAACAAACCATAAAAATATAAGTGTATTATTTACTACAGGATTTGATTTCTCTACAGGCTAAAAAGTAAATAAAAAACGCCCTCACATGTTTCACAGTTTTCTCCCATGTAGCCAGCTGGACACTGGCGACTGCATTCGCCGGTATTCTTGTTACAAAGTTTTGGATCGCTGCAGCGGCACCTGCTTCGGCATTCTAGCCCATACCATCCATCATCACATTCTTAAATATAATGGAAAAGCAAATAAATCCACGTGGAAATATTAATTTATTTATAATTTATCAAAACTTTAAAGAAAAAAAAAATTGTCAAATCATCAATTAAATGATTGGTTACTCATTTTGAAAACATAAATTGAGTGGTCAACCTTCATTTACAAATTTTGAAAATTAAAGAATAAAAAAAAAAAAAGAAAGGAAAAAAACCCATATGGAAATATCAATTTATTTCTAATTTATCAATCAATTTCAAGCAGCACAGAAAAACAATTCTCAAATCATCAATTAAATAATTGGTTTACTCATATCAAAAAACTAAATTCAGTTTTAAAATTCATTTGGAAATTTAAAATAAAAATATTTTAACTTTTTAGTAAATTTGAACTTGAAGATACTCTGTAAGAGCTGTGTACTAAAATACACTTGAAGAATTAATTTGGTGTTTGTTTGTTTACTGTATTTTCCACACACAAATTAAATCAGGTGAAAAATATCTAAAGCTAAGTAATATAAGTTTATTTAATAAACAACATAAAACAAAGTGTGTGAATGGAGGCCAAAATAAGTTTCAGAACAAACTTTGAGGCATAGTACCCATCAGTTAAGGCCAAATAAAAAATATGGTTAGTTTCACTTCAGGGATTTTAAATGATTTTCTTGATGAGGGTATTTAAAGGCTGTTATTTATTTATTTATTTTTTTTATAAAAGAAGTAAAATAAATCTTGGTAATGTGAAACAGACCTTTCCAAAGTGTCTATCAAGCTTAAAACAACTGACGAATAAGAACACGGTCTGGGATACGCACGTGTTTCACAAACACGGATGTCAACCGTTTTCTTTTCAACTGCAGTACCTCAAACCCCTTATCTTGAGTGGCCATTTGCCTTGTTTTAGATGACTGAACTTAAAAAAAATCTCAATATGACATCATTTACAATGTGTATCTTGACATCACAAGGTGTTCTTACCTATTTGACATCGGTCTCCTACATAACCACGTTTACATATGCAAACTCCATTCTCGTTGTCACAGCTTTCTGCATTAGTAGGATGGCAGTCACATTTCATGCTACAACCAAGGCCATACATAAATTTTGGACATTCTACAGAAAAAGTGATTGTTATTAATAAAGATTAACTAAAAATAAAACATGTTTAATGAACTCTCAACCTGCCGAATAAAAATAATTTTTTTTTTGCCAGTTACCTCAACCGACGCCAAAAAGAAAATGGAAATTTAAGAAAAAAATATAATGTTTTATTTTTATTACACCAACCGCTGCTTTGAAATCCCACAAAAATAAGAAATCTTATCAATACTCTGTTTTGTATTCTTTATGATCATGTGATAGGATCTCCAGTGAAAGCAAAAGAACACCCTCTATTACTTTTTTACCTCGCACACTTGCAAATTTGTTATTCATCAAACAATTTTTATTTTCCACTCTGCCTAGATAATCATTTTGCTAAATATGAAAACAAAATTTCATTTATATTTTTTATTTATTTATTTTTTTTGTCTCATCTGATGATATCTTTTTAAAAAATAAAAAATGTTTTAGATTTTTCTTATACTCTAGTAAGCAGTTCGGGTGACATTTTAGGCTTAGATGGCAGTGTATACTATGGCCACAAGCATTGATTTATTTAATAGCCTATATCATGTCATTGTAAAGGCCATTTGTCATCATTTTGTAAAGATTGAGTGTTAAGATACTTCAGGGAGTTCTAGCATTCTAAAACATGCAATCATCCTAAATTTACAGAAGTGGATTTGTCATACAGTAAAGGCCAACTCAGACAGCAATGTAAAACGAAGACGGGCGCAATCTGTTGTTGCGCCGACACGATGGTTTACGGCGGGGTCGGTCGTGTCATAGTATATTAAAAATCTTTTATTTCTCACAACGGCTTAAGTCGGTCCCTGACGATAAACCACATCGGGCTGAATCATACAAAGCTTTCTGAGTTGGCCTTAACACCTCTGCTTTTTTTAGTGGAACTTTTTGCTTGTTTGTTAGTATGACTGGAACAGAAGAAGGCGCCAGGTGACGACTTGTGGCTTGCACTGGGTGTCACCAAAATGCTGAGAAAAAACTCTTACCGCTGATTAGTTTATCACACAAACTGTATGACAACCAAATTAATAAAATAATTTACATCTCAATTTAATTGCAAATATGAATTAGAATGTTAGTATTTGATAATCGGTTGGATAATCCCAGATGAATGGTTACCGTGATAAATCATTGATTTTTACCAGAATTGCTACGATTGCTAATTAGGGTGAAGCCTATTAATCGGTTATGAACAATTAAGTGACTCAGTACCATTAAAATCTATTTTGATTGATAAACACAACATTACTCAAGTAACAAGGGAATACATAATTCCAAAAGGAAATTCAGTGTAAAAAAAATGATCAAAATAAATTAAATTTCATTAATATATAAATTAAGCAAAGTTTTTCCAAAGGCAATAACAATTTACAAATCCATATCAAATTTAAATGTATAAGTATCATTTTAAATATCAAGCTATTAATATGCTTTAAACAAATTCGTAATTTATAAAAGTTTATTAAACAATATTTTGAAAATCAATCATCAAATATATATATCTTATTATTTTCTTAAATTATGTTAAATTTTAGTACTATCAAAGGTTTATGAAGACTTGCTTTGTAATTAACAACTACTATCAACTACAGTACATTAAGCCATAGATTGGCTTTGAATAGCCTTTGGATATAGATTATTTTTAATCCTTTCAAGGTTACTCTGACCATCAAGAGACTGTTGTCAAGACACCCTAGTAATATATTACAAGTTATAACTATTTTATTTATCTTATATAAAGCAAGTAATTGTATATATACAATACTACATAATACATACACATATTCAGTCTGTATATATTAAATGCAACCGTAATGAATGCAGTACTCACACAAGTATAATTTTGACTTTAGATACACTGGAATTTTAATGAATATTAGTCACATAGAGTATGTATAAATATATATCATTGTAAATCCATGTGTGTGGCTTCAAATTATGTATCAGTCGTTAAAAACAAGGCATGTAGACTATTAAACACTGTATTTATTTTCGAAAGAAATTTTCGGCCAGTCGAAATAAATAAATATATATAAGTATATAATATATAATATATATTTATATATTACATATATATATATACATTTATATTTATATGTATTATAATTATATTTATTTATTTATCTACAGTACTTACAATCACATTATATATAATTAATGACTTGTTGTTGAAAAAGTTTGTTAGTAATGACAACTATAAATCGTTATACATATTAAGGAAGATAAAACAGAAAATAAATAACAAAGATATATGTTTGACAAAAAAAAATATTTATCATGAAAAACATTGTTTTCTCTTCTGTATTGCAAGTCAGAAATGTTCATGTTTAAAAGTTCATTGGCATGCGTGCTGTACAGATTTAATCAATTAAGCGCGAGTATGTTCTTGCAAATTCAATATTACAACTCTATTCATTCTATCTCTATTCAATACCTATAACTACATCCAATAATAGATTTTATTCCAGTCCTCTGGACATGTAATAACAACTAGAAGGTGATAATTAGTGGAAAGATATTTACTGGACTGTGAAATTTCAAATTGATTTAGCAACATAGTGAGCAGACACATAGCATCAACTGGGAGATCTCCGGCCCTTGTCACGCTTCGCAGAACAGCACCAGCCAGGCAGGCAATGCCAACACATAAGAACAAGTGGGTTGTGATGGAGTACAGCCGATGTAGCGAACGCCAACTAGATAGATGTGGCAGCGAGGTAATCCATAAATCCACATATTGATTGCTTTTAATGAATGACTCTGTTATTATCGTGGGTACTGCTCAACGTATATATTCTTTGTCTGTAGGCAGTCGGCAGTGACACAATGCTGTATTGAACTTGTATAGCTATCGGTATTGATTAGTTTTCGCCTTGAGTTTCATAAGTTCTGACTGTTCATTTGACCAGCTATCATTTACTCTACAGCATTTCTTGCGTCTGGTTATAATATAGCACAACACTTCTATTGGATTTTACTGTTTTGTTTAAAGCCTTACTCTTTAGTGCGGATTTTTAAGCACAAGTTTAAGTTGATTCTGTTTCTAATGTTGCAAGGTAAACGGTGGCATAAACTTGTCAAACAAAAAAACACAGACTTCAGTCTCAGAAAACTGGAAACTCGGTAAGGATATTTATTCAGAATTTGCATTAGCTCCTTTTTGAAATCACACCAGCACAATGTCTAGAATTTTGAAGCCAGTGCCGGAGCGCAAAGCCATCAACCCGTATTTAGAATGCGATTCATGCAACACGCAATACGAAATAGGAAAGAAAATGATTAAGACCTTACCATGTCGACATACAGTTTGTCGTCATTGCGTTGCTGCTGTTACCAATGATGGCAAAAGACCTTTTGTTTGTCCACGTTGTCGCTATACAAGCGAGAGTCACTTACGGCGTCAAAGTTCTCAGGAATTATTACATCAGGCATCGCTTAGTCGGGAAGTATCACTGAGTAATAGATCATTGCAAAGACAATTATCGCAGTCATCAATATCCAGACATGACAGTATCCCTCGAAATGTTGACATCAACAATTTGATTGGTCGTTATGATGGCGAACGTAAAGACATTCTTGGTGAAGCTCCAACTTGCGAAAGCTGTGACAGAAGGGCGCACTCCACAGCCTGGTGTTCCAGCTGCGCAATTTTCCTTTGCCGTTATTGTATTTATGCACATAAACATTTAAAATCCCTGTCCGGACATAAGTTGTACGCACTACGAGAGGGTAACAGTGGTAATCAAGCAAAATCCGTTTATTGCGAGAAACACAACACGCAGCTAATGACCTTATTTTGCAAGGCCATCGACTGTCAGATACCCATGTGCAAAGTTTGTGTGGCCGAATCTCATAGCACATCGAACCATGAGATCGTAGAGATAAGTCAAGTAGCCAAGGAACACAGGAAAGAGCTGGAAAAATTAGTTGATACAATGGTTGGAAAGGAAGAAAGTTTACTCAAATTTGTACAGAATGCACAAAAAATGCTACACGAGTTCAACACCAATACAATGCGTGTTGAACGTGACATGAAGGAATTTTTTGACAACTGTCATCGAGCATTGTACGAGAGAGAGAAACATTTGAATGAACAACTCTCCACTACAACACATGACATGACAGTGCAGATTCGAACCCAGAAAGAAAATGTAGAAAAAATTGTAAACAGAATCGATTCAACCTATCAGATAACTCAACACGCACTCCAAGGGACTGATGATGTTGAAATTGCACAAGTACGCAACCAAATGAAGATAACACTGCGTAACATGAGAACAACACTGGATGAGCTTTCTTCGATGAATGTAAACATTCAACCACTGGCAAATAGTTACGTTAAATTTAAATGGGACCATAACACTTCATGGGAGAGTTACAAAGAAATAGTGCGTAAACTTGGCGAACTCGATGCTAGTAACACGGCACCGTGTTTAACAAAGGTGACACTAAATGCTGCGTTCGCGGGTCAGGAATGCCACCTTTTAGTTCAGACCATTGATTACAATATTCGGCCAAAGAATGCGGGAGGTGATAAAATTAGTGTGATTATACAATCATCTGATAAGAAGTCGCTTGTCACTACAATAATGGATAAGAAAAATGGGCTTTATGAGGTATTATATGTGCCTCCTACACCTGGCAACTATGAGCTGACAGTGAATGTTTTAGATCAAACAGTTTCCAGAAAAGACGTACCTTTGACAATTCACGTTGGATCTTTACGACACACAAAATATCCTGCCCTCGTTGGTGAATCAAGCAAAGTTTTACTGGAAACATTCAATAGTAAAGACAGTCTTCAGCATATTATCAATAAAATGCAATTGACAACTGAGCTTCATGATCCAAGGGGAAATATCGTACCTATCAATACACACTATGATGATGCAGGTAAATTTGAAATATCTTTCACAGCAATGGTTATTGGGGACCATCACCTAACATTGTTAATAAGTGGAAACCCAATCAGAAACAATCCTCTTATCATACCTGTGTTCCACAAAATTGGAACCCAAGGAGCTCGACCAGGGCAATTCAACTGTCTAACATCCCTTGCAATAAGTCCTAAGCACCATCGTGATGTATTCGTAGCGGATACAATGTGGAACCAACGCATTCAGCGTATTACCACCAAAGGTGTGTATAATGAATCTTACATGGTTCCTTACAAAGACTTTTCTCTAATAAATTTTGATGATTCCGGGAACCTGTACATACTGTTTCTGAATCAAAAGAGACTTTTCACATACGGTGTTGGATCTGGGAGTACTTTGCAGCTACGATACCATTCTTCACTGCCTCAACTTCAGTTTCCACATGGTATGGCTGTGAACTCTCTTGGGCAAGTTCTTATAAGTGATATAGGCGCTCATTGTATATTTGTATACCTCCAATCTGGTTCCATGGTAAAACAAATTGGAAGGGAGGGAACCAATCGAGGAGAGTTTAAGTTTCCTACGGATATCTGCCTCAACATCCAAGATCAGGTTTTTGTCTGTGATATGGATAACCGCCGTGTACAGCATTTGGACAGTCAAGGAAGATGCATGGGACTGTTTGGATCAGAGTCGAGTCTCAAACAGCCAATAGCAGTAGCTTTGTCCACTGAGGGTTATCTTCTTGTGCTGGATCGTTCTGATCTCAACGTAGTCGTCTTCTTTCTACACACCGGAGGTATTGTCAACAGAATCGAAACAAACAGCGTTGCATCGGCTGACCGGCTTCTTGCACTGCATGATGGATACTTTATGAAGACAGACAATACAAATCACTGCCTCCAGAAGTTCAAGTATGTGGAAGATATGGGTTGGCAATCTGAAGAGGATGCTGGTGGTCAATTGCGCTCCTCAGCAGGTACTCCTTATAGTCTGCAGAACGGCTACCAGAGCAGTCAATATGGCACCTACAATGGCAGCCTCGAGGAACAGCAGAGGAGTCAATCGCATTACTCCCAATCACATTCTTCAAGTGAGACCAGTAGGACGATGAACGGCACACTGCCAACATCGCACTACTCTTACAGACAGGATCAACCTCCTGACTTAAGATATGGGTCTCCACGTCATGGACAAGATCGTATATAGAGAAACATAACTCAAGGAATAAAGTTCCCAATATGGTTCTTTGTAAGTTGAATTTTGTAAACATTTTCCAAAAACAGCAATTACAGTATTCATATCATAATTACTAGTTACTGGCACAATAACTATCCTATTACTAACTAAAACCTATGGATTTTTTTTAATGAAGTATTATCTTTGTAATATTATTGACTACAATTATAATAACCATGCTATGTAATGCATTGCAGTTAGAATTAACATAACCCAAAAATGTTTACACTATTATTAAAATATTGAATATTACTAATATTATTATATGCATGCATTCCAATTACTTTTCATGAGGCATACCTAGCAAACAAAAAACGTTCTTATACCGTTTCCACAACGTTGTAAAAACGTTCACAAATCGTGAGGTTGTGAAATTAGGTTATGGTTCTACAAAATAACGTTTTTATCACCGAACTGTAACATTATTATAACATTCTTATAATGTAATTGTTAGCGAAGTTGCTTCCTGTTAGCTAAATTGTTCCTATTTACAGTATGTAAAATTTAATAAGTCACCACAATCAAAATATTATGCTTAATTTCCATTAGACAAACTTGTTAATTACAAATGTATCTCACACAAAAGACCAAATTTCAAATGTTTATTCCAAGCCAATTTGTATTGACAAACTCTGACAGTAGCTTGTGTTCTTTACTTGTTAGTCTTTCAGTCTAGCTGTTACAAGCTCAATAATTGATAAGTGATGCATACCAAGATGAATATCACTTTTTGGGTTGTTTAAGAAAACCCATCAAGCAAATGGATTTGTCTGAGATACGAGCAGAATGCTTAGCAAACAGTTGCATATTTTTTAGAGAAGGGCATGAGTGGGGGGAGGGGGCCCTTGAATCCTCCTCCTATTCACCCGAATGGTAATTTGCTGAGCAAAAAATATACTCAAGTAGTTACAAATTACCTCATAACACCATATTAATGAAGACGTTAAAGATAATTGTTTCAGTTTTATTTTTCAAAACACTATTTCTGCTTGTGTAGAGTACTACAGTGTTACGTCACGATACCACGTGATATTGCTCCGTTGCTATTGGCGACACTAAATTCGTTCAACCGACGGCTTTCTCCACTGAAAAAACCATTGATCCCAATTTCTAACGTAATTATTAAGAAGTTGTATCTTAATTTTTCTTTGTAAGTGTTAGGGGTCATCCATAATTATCAACATTTTCAAAAGAGTACAAAACATACGCTTTAGGGTGGGAGGGGGTTGAAAGTGTAGGCATAAGTACTTTTTTATGAAAAACATAAAATGTTGATCTCAAAATGACACAAATCAACATTTTATTGTGTACTCTTTCGGGGAAGGGAGGGGGTAACAGAAAAGAGTATGTTTTGTACTGTTTTGAAAATGTTGATAATTATGGATGACCCCCTTAATTGATGATTAAATGCGTGTTCGATAACTAATATAACGCGAGCTTTTTGTGTTTTTAGTACATTTTGATGGTAAATTATTAGATTTTAAAATGCCTATCCCAGAAAGCCTATTCTAAAGATTATGAAGTCATTCAGGCGTAGTGAACGGTAAACAACGTCTGGTTGACAACAAAGGGCGCCACCTGGCGTTGTGATGACACAACACCAGGTGGCGCCCTTTGTTGTTGATGACACAACTATTGTACTCTATAACATCATTCCAGTTTGTATCTTTGCAGCTAAGCTTCATCACTTAAACACTGAACCTCTTCATTTAACCTTTGCATCACCCATCAACCCCCACTCTTATGCCAATATACCTATATGTGCCATTGTTAGAAAAATACTTCACACTTTGCTCAACTCTTTCACACTCTGGTGCTAAAGGTCATACAAACTATTGCAAAATTATAATTCTTGGGTGTTCATTTACAAACAGGTAATAATTAAGTATAACTTTGAGGTTTTTGTTTGGATTTCTTGTATAAACTTTTATTTTAAGAATTTAAAAGCACTAACTGTTCATTGGACTGTTTTGGTGTGACAAATATTATACTCACCATTTGTACATTACATTTGCACAAAAATAAAGTAATTAATAAAGCAATAAATTGCTGGAGCTCACAAAGTTTCTTACGGAGTCTTTTTTAATACCTTGTTTAGCAAACTTCTTTAAAAACAACCGTCAGAGGAGGGGGGAAGGGGAAACATTGTTATCTTATTTAGCAAAATGATTTTGCCAAAAGCATCTAGGCAGAGAAAAATATAAAAATACAATTTTATTCATGAATGTAAACATGGTAATAATGAAATTGATAAATGTTTTAATTTTATACAATTAAGGAGGAAATATCAGTGTTATTAAAGTCTACCATTGAAGTTGTTTCATTTTTTTCTATATTCTGTTGGAATACACGTGGAACACAAATGATATATATATATATATATATATATCTTATTTTTGGAAATTTCAGGAAAGTGGACGGCATCATTTGAATTTTGAAGTTTTTTTTGTAATAAATAATTTTTTTTTTTATAAACTTTATATTTTTCAAGGCAGAGGGTATGCTAACTGGCCAAAATAAAATTGTATTTGTATTTGAAATCATGGCAGTTCTTAGGTTTGCTAAACGAGGTATAAAAAAACTCTCACAGCATAAATAATGACTAAGGATGATGTCATAAAATTCAATGATTGATGGATTGAGTGATTTGATTGGTATGGAAGCTAATTCGATTGATTGATTGGGATATTTAATCCCGGGAGATGTAAAAATATGTTTGCATCTCCCTGTTTAAACTAAAAGCATTCTATACCAGCAAAGCTGCAAAAGTCTTATTGTAAAATAGCTTCAACATGTAATTTATATATTACTATTGGCTAGTTTAGAATATAATTTATTTCAAATTCTTTAATTATTATCATTAAAATAACAATTTTGTTTAAAAGAAAAATTATCTATGTTTTTATATAATGATTTCATATTTTTAAGAATATTAACAAGATATATAATATGTAATTTATATTTTATGATTTCATCTGTTATAAGATCAATACCTACCTTCTGGACATACATGATTGATTGTAGAGTAAATTATTCATTACATGTTGTTGAATACCAAGTTTCACACATATTAATAAGCTAAGCATTGTGTGACGAACTTACGGAAGTTGCAAGACATTCCAAAAAAGCCAGCGGGACAGTTGCAGATTCCAGTGTCACGGTTACAGGTCAACCCACTCGAACACTGGCAATGTCGCTGACACTCTGTACCCCATTTCCCAGGTGGGCAGCCTAGAAAACAAACACGTTAATTATATGTTTGATAGCTACTTAATTTCAATAATTTTCCATTGAGTATTTAAAGATGTATTATCAGTCGCAAGGTTTATTAGCTTCAAATTAATAATCTGAATGAGAAAAAAATTCCACTGTCAATTTTCAGACATTTAAATAATACAGTGTACCCTTTATTTCGAGATCCCTCTAAATTCGACATTTCTTTAATTCAAGACCACTTTTTCAAGAACTAAATAACAATCTTCAACATTTTAACACAAAGTTAACCCTCTGTATTAGGGACCAAACCTGGAGACCACCCCAAATTATCAGGTCCCAAAGGTGGTCTCTAATTAGCAGGTGAACTGAAATTTTCCTAAATTCTTTTCCATAGGGATCCTTAAATTCGCTTTTATTTTTTTATTAAAATGTCTGTAAATTGGTGAAAACTCCTTTTTTTCGATTTATTTCACAGGTAGTAAAGGTAGGAGTTCCTTTTAAACTAGTTATCAAAATTTTATTTAAAAGATATATTTTTCTGTCTTTTTGACTGGTAGTACATCTTTATTAATATTATTATTAATATATTTAAAATATGTAAAAATATTATGCCATATATTATGACCATCAACAACATCATCTTGTATTTAGTTTAAAGTAAATAGCAAATGTATTATCATCATAGCATTTTTTAACATTTTGATGTGTGTGTAATAAACATTGGGCAATTACTTGGACCATTTTTTTTTACCATGTTTTGGATTGTAAAATTTTTGTTTAGCTTTAGTTAATTATTATTGTACTTAACAGTATTATATACTATGGTAAAATATTCATTATCTATACTATCAGCAATATATATGTTAATTTCTTAATATTAATAATTCATAATATATAATTTAATTTTTCCCATTGAGGTGAAGGCGAACAGCAATGGGATATCCTCTCTGTACAAATCTTGTATGTCAAGATAAAAAAATACATTTTTGTACGAGGGGCTTTAAATTTGCATACCTTATTTATCTTTACAAATTATACATGAAATATTACAAAAATTATACAGGAAGGATTAATCGATATGCAACATAGTAAGACACTTTCCTTCAAAAGCTATTGCAATTAATTTTTTAACATTCAATATAATCTGCTTAAAATTTAATTCACCAGCAAGTAAAATCAGTGCTTCAATTACAGTATTATAAAAGATATTGAAAATGTACAATTAAAGGTGCACTGCCTGCCATGAGCTAAAATAATTGTTAATTTGAATACATTCCCTCTAATTAAAGACCCCTCCAATTAAAGACCAAATTGGAGGGACCTGTATAAGTAAGGCATTAACTTACAATTAAAAATGGTATGTCCCTGTCAATTAATGGACAGTTAAACAATACTTTTACTGTTTTATTTTGCACAATTGGCTGATTCAGTCTAAGAATTTTTGTGTACAAAAATCAGCAAAAACTGTTTTAAAAAAATTGTTTCTAGTTGGGAGTTTATAACTTATTATTTTCATACTTTAAAATGAGCATTTCCAGGTTTTGATTTTTTTAATTTTTAAGGTGTTTTTCCGATTTGTTTTGGCAGACAGTGTATCTTTAAACTACACTATATCCTAAAGGAAAAAATGTCATTAAATTTATGTAATAAAGATACATCTTGGTAATCATTTCAAGGATTAGATTAAAGATCCAAGGAATACTAAAGTAAGCATTATGAATATCAATGTGCTGCTTCCCTGCAGCAAATTATGACAACTTATCTATTAGTGCTTGAAACAAGATCAAGTACGTAGGTCTTTTGGGATCATATCTTAAGATTGCAAGCTGTCAGTTTAGTTTAGATACGTAGATAATAAAACCATAAGGCACACACTGTGCTGATGGCAGCATGACCTTCATTCTTTTGTGAGCGCTTGACAATGAAATGGCATCTGCCAAGTGTCATTGGCAGTCTTAAACCGGGGCCTCACTGCATCGTAGGACGGTCGCATGACGGATCCAACTCCCCTTCCTGTATGCGCTAGACCACGTCTGAACGGATCTTCATTAAAAACAACCCATTGTGCGCGCATCGTTACGCTGCGTTCTCATAAAAGCACATCGCCAGACGACCATCAGACGCAGTTAGTGCCCGGCTTTAGCTGATGGTTACAAAAAAAATATCCACTGCGCGCACCTTGTCGTGCCCCATTTCGCATGGATTTGCTCTGGCGCACAACCATAGTGTGTGCCGGGCAATAATTTGTCGTGCTTTTAACAATTTTTTGACTAATAACCTAATAATAAAACAAGTTTATGTAAATTCAATTGTAATCTACATTTTTTAATATGAATATTGTAAACTTGGAAATAATTATATTAAAAAAATATATCAGTATTTATATCTATTATGTTTTCATGCTCAATAAAAATATTGTAAAGAAATAAAACTAGAAGTATTTTGTGTAATTATATACCAATTTTGCTTTTTTTCTCTGTAATTCTTCTATAAGCAAGTACACACACTAAATTCGAACTTTTTTTTGTAAGAAAATGGAGGAATAAGTTAAAAAAACCTATTTCTTCATTATCAAATTCTGTTTATCTAATGACTGAATGAATTTGGATAGAGACTTTCATGTCAATATGATCCCTATGACCTGTAGTTGATTCTAAAAAATTATTTGGTACTTGTATAGCGCACTGAAGATATGACATTTTAATTGATTTGAACCCAGTATTGTTGTATTAGAAGATATGGCACAGCTCAACTCACTTGATGTAATCTGAGCTCCGACAATAACTACAACATTGTGACCAATATAACACTAAATATATCTGCCTGTATCTTATATCAAATATATTGATTATTTTTAGTTCGTTTTTGATTATTCAAATAATGTGATGGTGGTCTTGCCATACCTATCAGTATTATTGAAGTAGACTGCAAAACGTTAATAACAGCCCAGTTTATATAATATCACCTAGGTTATATTGACGATGATCCAAAAAAAAAGAGACAGGAAGCTTTTCAACACTCTCGGTCATTAAAATTATCAGTTTGGTGTTCCAGCAAAGATAATAAATAGCAGAAGATAGAGCAGCTTCCCAATATAGGGGAACATCCATTCAAAAGGCATTGTGGGCACACGAAGAGCAATTTTACTGCAACCGCACGGCGGCGCTATATAAAAATAATAAAGGCGCTACTCTTTTTTGCTTGTTTCCTTTAGCTTCTCCACTTAGTAAAATGTTCAAATTTTACTGCAACTGCAAATACGCGGAGCAACTCATTCTTCTGCTATATAAGTTCTTTGATTCCAGCTAGTAATTGAATAAAGTGCACAACATACTTCACAACACTACAATGTGACATTGTTCCACAAAACTGGAAAAATTTGAAAAAATTTGACCAACATTTTTTTAAATGTAATTATACTCAACATTAAATTAGCTTTAGAATGCCATACTTTACTGGGATGGTGTTAGTTTCCCTTAATCCAAAAGCAGATATTGAATTTGAGGTATCGCTATTCACACACCTGAGAAAAACAGCTATAGTGTGCATGCACAGGTTGCAGTGGTTACGCATGAGTGCACACACATAGTAAGCAGTCACAAACAATAATGTGTATATTAACAACACATTTTAAGCATATTTCACAGGTTTATGTTATCACAAAAAATGGAATATTTACATTTCAAATGTGAATAAAATATTAACAGAGATAATTAAAAAGCTGAAATATGGAATTAACTTAAGTATTTGTTTTCTCAAAACATTGACTTGCCGCTTTTTCAGGTTTGTGGAAATACATCACATATAATATAAAACCAAAACTCAGCACCTGACCGAGATGTTATGTCCCTACTTCTTGTGCTGAAGATCTCGGTTCAAACCTGGTCACCACCAGGTTTTACTCCGAGTCTGATTGTGCTCTGCGAATATATACCCTCACATGAGAGTTTGGCGAGATAAAGGAAAATGTATCCATTACATGTCGGTTCTGGCACTGCACTGTGGCTACACAAGTCCTGAGGGTCCCAGCCAAAATTTCCAATTTCAAAAATATCAAGTTAGAAAAAAGGGAAAAATTTCATCTTTTTAATCTTAAAATAAAAATATTTAGCAGTGTGCTTGTGTAAAAATGTGTTTACAAAAAAAAAAAAAAAAAAAAAAAGGTTTCACTCACCATATTCACAGTAGCGACCTTCAACCCCTACTGGACAGATACATTCACCAGTTACAAAATTACAAGTTCCTCCATTTTTACATATGCATATGCTTTGGCAACCCTCTCCATAAAACCCTTCAGGGCAAGCTGATAAGAAAAGGATATATTATAAAAATGAGTTGGAGGACCAAAGTGAATATTTGATTTTAAACTTTGGGCCGCATAGATGTTGCTAGTGTTCTTTTAAAAACCTTCATGCACTGCTGTAATACCACTTTCTGTTTCGGTTTCAACATTATTTTTTACAAATGATCAGTTTAGGGTCATCAAAGACAAGAGGTTCTTTAGGGAAAAATGGCTGGGGACTGCACACGACAAGGCTTTAATTTATTTTAACAGGCTGCAAAATTGTTTGGCGGATGTTCACATAAAGGCTTAAATTCATTTTCACGGGCATGCAGAAACGTAAACTAATTCTCATTAGGAGTTTTAGGGAGTGGAGATGTTTTTGGTTTGTGACAGGAATTGAACCATAACAGGAAATGAACCCAGAACTCTGGCATTGGAAGGCAAGGATCTTAAAAACTACCAAGCTACAGCTTCACTCACCAGCAGCAACAAGGAGTGGTAAAAATTCTTAAGCTCTGTCCAGATTATCAAATTTTCTTTGACAAAAACTGTTGTATGCCCATATACAGTCATGATGTGCCTATATATGGTCATGATGTGATGTCATCATGACCATATTTGGGCATGGCACATGTTTTTGTCCAAAAAATTGATAGTGTGGACAGGCCTTAAGTGTGTCTGAATTGAGAAATGTCTTTTCTAATGTGTGAAACTGTTTATTAATTTATTTTATGTTTTTATTTGTAATTATTTAAAGACGAGATTTGAAATGAGGCTATTTCACAACATTTTTTCATAGATATCCTTGATTTCAGAGTCTTTAAAATCAACTGGTCTTATAAATTTGATATTTCTAATAAATTTTTTAATAAAATTCTCTTCAATTCAATTCACTCCATCTATCACTAAAGCATTAAAATTAAAAAATCAATAATTACTCATTATGAATAATTGATAAATATGTTTTTTATTATTTCCCTATTAAGTGGAAAGTGTAAACAATACACAATGTATCATCTGCTGTGCTCCCTAAGGGAGTATTCAGATATGAATGAATATTTATAAACATATATGAATAATCAATCATAAACCAATTAAAGCTGTGAATATTGACATTTTATATTCACCATATATTTCGCTGGAAAGATCAACTTTGATCGATATGGTCAAAATAAAAAGTTTTCAATTCAATATCAATTTATTTATTTATATTTTAACAACATTTTAGTTTACTTGTCGACAAGCCACTGTGTGTGTGCTGATCTGTGGAGATCTCTTGGTATTTACCATGGGATCCTTGGTGTTGTCACTTTATGTTAATAGCATTTAATATATAAGTCCATATGTATCGTTGTTACTACCCTAATAAATCCAAGATAAGGTGTATCTACAAGAAATATCTTAGGAAGTCCCTGTAACATTTATCATACTGTACACCCCACACCCACCATGTAAAATTTTTTTTATGTGTGATATTACACATACTTTCATTGCAAACGATGCCACGGAAGCCAGAAGGGCAGGTACATCCATTAAGTTCCATGTTGCAGGCTCCACCATTCAGACACGGATCCTGATTGCATGAGAATTCGCACTGAGGTCCAAACTCGCCAAAATTGCAAAACACACCTAAAAACATCAATAAAAAAAAAAAACAGTAAAAACAGTAACACAAATAATAATTATCATAATTATATCATAATCATATATAAAAATGATAATTTTACAGGATAATTAATAGATAATAATAAACTGTTATAACAAAACAATTTATTTATGTTTTGAATAGTTTCATCTGGATAAAATGATCATATTAACTGATACAAAAGAATAAACCATTCTGATAAACTCCTCCCCTTAGTTACTGTTACTAAGGACCCACTTAGTGCAAATTAATGTTAACATATACATTTGTGGGACATGCGTATATTCCTGACCCTGTTATGATTGGGGAGATTTGAAGTTTGATCGACATTCCAAGAAAGGTCCTTTAAGCCTAAATTTTCACATTCCCTTAAAGCCCCATTCCCTGCAAAATTTCAGTCTTTAAGAAAAATCTAATTTTTGTATAATGTTATAAAGATTTATAGATATAATACAGAATTGCTAGTTTAACTGAATTTAGACATTCCTAAGAATGAAAAAAAGGTAAAATAAGACTGAAATTTGATTTTTTTTGTGTTCCACACAAAAAATAAATGTGGATGAATTTTTCATTTTGATTTTGCGATAGGTCGTGAGAAAAAATATAGTAGGCGCCGAAAACATTCGCCTATCCAGCTAGGCCTAGCCTTACCTCGGTTTGGGTTCTGTTATCACACATAAAAACGGCCGACATGATATTTTCCGTTGCTAGTATTGACACTTGTGATATATAATATTTCATTGGAATTATTTCAAATTTGTTAAAAAACTGATTCTGACTGAGATTTTGACACTTAAACAAACATATCTCCTTAATCGAACGACCGCATTGTGCGAGATACGAAGTACAAAAAAATATTCTCATTAGAGAGGGTGCACTTTATTGACTGTATAAAAGTATACATAAAAGCGAGAGTATTCCAGTGGATGCGATCTACAACCTATGAATTTGCCTAGTAACGATGAATTCGTCCAGAAAATGGTAATATTTTATAAGAAATAGTCTGTATTTCTCATTTTTTTTATTCTTTTGCGTAAAACTAAAACTCATGCCAATATTTTTCCATGATTTATAATAATTGGAGTAATTCAAATGAATATTTTCTAAGAAAGTCAGTTTTTAGTGAAATTTTGCCGGGAATGGGGCTTTAAAGTAAACTAATATACTGTAAACAGCAAACTAGCTCCCCCTCGTGTGATCATCGAGTCCAACGCACTCCACCCTCGTTCTCCATCAGTCCCATTATCCACCGCCCCAAAACACCATTTTAGGTCTTCTAGATATACCACTGCATGTAAATCCAGTAAATGAATAATTGAAATAACAAGTGAAACTACAAAGTTCTCAAACCTTTAGGGATGGATAGTTCAACCAATTCTCCATTGTTGTCATAGTATTGTTCATAATCACTCACAGTCTCAGAGACTAATACTGGAGAATAGCCCAAACCAGATATATTTGGAGAAATTCCAGCTTGTTCTAGAAAAGTGAAATATCCATTGATTAACTATAAAACATTTCAGGACACAAAAAACAAACTTTATGGTATACTAAATTAGATCACCAAAAGACTTGTATTGCATATGGTTGGTTTACAATCTGTTACAATTCTAAAGCATCTTTAGAACTAGAGATTCGTTGAAAGACTGCTTTATACAATTACACCATCTATGTTTCTATCTGAGCACTGATATATCATTAATCTACTTGTATAAACCTCATACAGCCTTTGGTATGCTATATATAACGACTGGGCCATTGAGGATTTGTTGGGATTTCAAATTTGATTAAAGCAAACCACATACATACACAAAAATCAATGACAGAAAAAAGGACTATAATTTTTGCAGGTGGAAAATGGCACCGCAAGCAGCTCGAATTTTCGAAGTATATATATATATATATATATATATATATA